TGAACGATGTTATTTCTCCAAAAAAAATGATTACTGGGAATCGAAGAAGTTTGTATGCAAAGCATAAAGCAGTAAATAGGTTATCCTGGGGATGAAACGAGGCGAGTGTTTTTTAAAAAGTGCAGACGACTAGAGTGGATCGGTCTACAATGGCCAAAGTCGTTTTGGACCGAGTGGCGACTGGCTCAGGCTTACAATAGAAGACGATGACTAGGGATTCCCTCAACGCCTGTATCCTTACCTTTTGGCTAGGGCTTTTGGAATGTTATCTGGCGTCCCTCGAACAATAACCTATTCCCCTCTCAGGCGGTCTTATCACCGCATCCCGCATGTCACCAGACCTCTTGGTGCACATGTTGTCTTTGCCAGCTGATGAAGAATGCTTGCTTTCAGACTGTTGGTGATTACGTCTGACCCCGTAGGACAATCATGTCTACTTGTTTAATTATTTGTCGTAATGAGTAGACAGGTATTAGCCCAGACACGCGTGTTTCGTCGATCTTGTGCCGCTGCCTGAACAGGTCTGTTTCAAAGCAGTTACTCAAAGTTCGCCCATTAATCTCCTCGGACATTAAACAAGGCATGTCTCCTTAGTACGTTTCTGCGCTAAGGAGTGACGTCAGTAGGCGAGTACAGAGGGGGCGAGCTCAACTTCGGCCAATCAGCTAACACCATCTCGCTGATATGCTAACTTAGCCCCCATACGTTCCCACGCTATCTGCGGGTCTATGTAGGCCCACCAGCCAACTTCCAAAGAAGGCTCCCTGTATGTCTAGAATGCAGGTTACCCCCAGCGTTGTTTTCCTGATCTCTGACCCAAGAGAGATAGGTGCAGAAGCGGTCTTAATGATTACGACACACAATCTGTTTATATTTGCCAACCTATTGCCCGAATAGCCCTACTGATAGTACAAATAATCGGCGTCTAATCAGTCCTGCCGGAATTCTCTCTTCTGTCATCTGTCGTCCTTTCTGGCATAGGGCCGTCGAGATATTTTACTCATCTTCTAACACGAGAAACGATCTCCCCCCGCCTCTCCTCCCCCCTCCCACCGAACATACTTCTGTCACCGTTTCCAGAACGCTTTATACATGACGTTTTTTTCCTAATGTTCCCATAGGCAAACTGGAACGGTCTTCGTTTCGGGACTTGCATGAGTTGTCTGCCGTGAAAATGGGGGATCCTAACCCGTGATTAGCGCTATTTGGTTTGCACTTAAACGGGGGGCTACGTAGACTTTGACCAATTTTGAGTTTCTCTTCTCCTGTGTCCCACAAGCGCACGGTTTCTTCGACCTCACCGGACCAAATCAAACATGAGAGATTGCCAGGCGACGGAGTTGTACCCTGACCGCACCAGACGCGAACGCGATTGCTCACTGCCATATGCTTCCAGTCCCACCCCGAACTGGAGCAAAAAGGACGTTTGCGGGCCGTGCGCCGTAGTGGTACGCCTGTGTGTGTGGCCTGAGCTTCACGGCAGACAGGGGCTTCCTTTGCTGCAAGCTCCACCTCTCTGTGTACTTTGCTTGAGTTCGCTTGACCGATGGCCGTGTGCCACAGTGACGCATCTGTATGGGGCCTGGATTTCGAGTCAGACAGGAAACGTTCTTTGTGAGCCTGCCCCTTTGATCAAGTAGGGGTGGCTAGACGGAGGAAGGGAGGGGGAGCCCACTGTTGTTTCGCTCATGAGACGTCTCAGCTAAGGCTGTTAAGTGTCAGTTACAGCTGTCTCTTCTGTGCGCCGACGGTGAAAACCAGGGTTCGGACGCAGTCGCGCTCTTTCTTGGCCGTGACAGCAGCGTACTTTGGGCCGCTGACGCCTCCCTTTGCAAGTGTCTCGGCGCAGTTTTGATCTCCCAGCTGGGGGGTCTCATCGATCGACTCCCCCCCCTTGGGCCGTTGGTGCAACCTAACCGCCTGTTTTCAGATGAACGCACAGAGGCTCGGCCCTCTGGTCGGAGCGCTGGTGTCTTTGTGCCGAGTTTAACAAAGTGCCACAGACCGCCGTGCCGTGACTTTCATTACCGCTAGCTTTGTCGCCGCCCTCACCGACCGTTTTCTATCATACCGTAACGTGTGGATAATAGACTCCAGACAACTTTCGACATGCATGGTTGTTTGAGCATCGTCCAGGTTTGATTCACTGCTGTTCAGTATCGCTCGTGTTGTGAATCTTGGCACTTCTAATTCGGGGCGCGCTGAGAAGCCAACCTGAAGTTAGAGTTTATCGTCGTCCGCGCGTTGCCGACTTCGACCTCATTGATGGCGTTACGGTCAAATTTGTGGTCGTAGCGCGAGGTTTGTCTGGGGCAGGCGAAACGAGCTGGGAATCTAGCAGCTCCAGGCAGTAGAGGTTTTCGTCCGGCATGTGGAGCACGGTAACGGTAGACGGCGGAGTCCCCCTAGCTGTCACCAACTGCAATACGTGACGTCAGACGAGCATTAGGGTATGGATGAAATATCCCTTCATCTGTGCTGATTGTAGGATATGATACGGACGATTCGTCCTTGTGTAGGTCAGGATAGAATTGTGAAATAGATGCATGGTGAGCTCGTGACTGACGTCGAACCCTCTGCGGTCAGCGCAAGATCGACCTGGAGACAATAATGAGGTAGTTCTCAGTGTGGATAGGAAGGTTGTTGTTGTTGTTGTTGTTGAGCAGACACCAGTCTCTTTCCTCATCGCCATTTGTCCTCGGAAGTTGCAACCTGAGAACGCGAACCGAAGTCATTCAGTCGTCCAAGCAGCCTGTTACCCAGCGAAGCTGTCCGACAGCGGTTGCGTTTTTGGCTGTTTGGTGAAGGAATGGCTTGCTCTAATCCCTGGAGTAGAAGGCGGGCTTCTCTGCTCATCTCACCGGCGGACTAATTCAAAGTGCCATAATTGTGTCGGGCAGCAGCATGGTGCGGAAGGACCGGCAATTTTACCGCCGTCGTACTTACTTGTACTTGACTTGATACGGCTGCGATCATGCCTGATCTAGCCGGCCTCGATGATGTCCCGAACTATACCTCTCCACGCGTGACGATCCGCGGCAGCAGATCTGGACAGCTCAACCCATTCCCTTCGCCAACGACGGAGACCGAATACCGAAGGTCCAAGAACCACCTCCATGTCTTGACGGACAGTGTCGAGCCAGGTTTTGAACTGACCCCCTATTCGACGCCTCCAATGGGGCAACGGTGCCGGATCGAGGGCAGTAACACTGAGCTCCTGAGGTGGAAGACGAAGAACATGCCCGAAAAACCTCAGTCGTCTTTCTTGGATGGCCTGAGTTATCCTTGCGATGTTGTCGCAGCGAGCGCGGACTGTCTCATTTGAGGCGAAGTCGGTAAACTTCACTCGAAGGATGGTCCTCAAGCAGTGGTGGTCAAATACCTCCAGTTTTCGCTCATCCTCCACGCGCAAAGTCCAGCATTCACAACCGTAGAGAAGGACAGACCGGACAGATGCACGGTACACGCGAATCTTAGTGGTGATGGAGAGGTCACGTCGGTTCCACAGGCATTTCCGATGGCTTGAAAAAACCCAGCGGGCAGCGTCGATTCGGGAGACAATGTCGTCCTTGCTCTGTCGATTAGGCAGCAGCCTCGCCCCGAGGTATTTAAAACTGTCCACTTCTTCAAGTTGACAGCCATCAATCCCCAGGGGTGCCTTCTCCTGGTCAGGGATGCAGCTTGAGAATACTTTGGTCTTCCCAGCGTTTATGGACAAACCGACTGATTTAGCGTTCTCGTTCACCCGTGACACCATCGACTGCAGATCACCAAAACTTGAAGCAAGTATGACGATATCATCGGCATAGTCGAGATCATTCAGTCGATGTCCGGGTGCAAATTCAACGCCGTCACTGTCGCGTAGGGCCCTCCCGAGGATCCAGTCAATAGCGTAGTTGAACAGTATGGATGACAGGATACAACCCTGTCGGACGCCAGACCGAATAGCGAACGTTTGGGAAAGATTGTTACGGACCAGGACTCTCGCAGTAGTGGAGCGATAGTAGGCCTTGATCATGGCGATGATTTTTGCCGGTACACCATCTAGCGCCATTATCCGCCACAGAGACTCACGCTGAACCGAATCGAACGCGGCGGCAAAATCAACGAAGCAAACGGCCGTCGGTTGTTGGTAGCTATGGCGAAATTCGAGAATGCGCCTCAATGTGAATATCTGATCTGCGCATCCACGTCCACCACGAAATCCGGCTTGGTTTGGCCTCATCCTTGAGTCACGCACATCCTGGAATCGTCTGAGTAGGACAATAGCGAAGATCTTCGCAGCAACGTCGAGGAGACCTGTGCCGCGATAATTCTCGCATCTCGTCTTATCTCCCTTCTTGAGGATAAGTACAAGGATGCCTAAGCCCCAGTCCTCAGGAACAACCTCGTCTCTCCACGCTCGTTCAATCACTTCATGGAGCCAGGGCGCCAGAGTGTAGTCGTACTGCCGTTGTCCTGTAGCCTACTTACAGGTAGACGAGTTGTCGCGTTGGTCTCCAGCCGCGAGGATATTCCATGATGATGAATAATAAAAAATAACGAAAATAGTTAAAATCGATGTTTTGTGAGCTTTTCTTATGTTGAGCCTGCCTGATATGGCGAAGACTTGTAATTGCTGAGCACGCGATTACAGTGGATATGCTATCTCATGAAATGCTGACTGAAATCCGAAAATTTGTTTTCCCTTCGGAAAGATTACTTTAGTAGGATTGCCATGTTACCTATCTTGTCGCGCATAATGTCAAGATATTCCAGTCGCATCAGGATGCCGCCTTTCGACCGCCCGTGTAAACTGCATTTTGTAAAAGATGACTACTTAAGTAGTATGAATTCTAACGATTGGATTTCGATACTTTTATAGAAAAAATGCAAAAAAATTCTTCCGTTTACTCCTTTGGTAGCAAATTACATCTTCAAATTCTTGTGCTGCAAGAAAGAGGATCTTCCGGTTTTGAAGAAAGTTTCACAATTCTCTAATAATTTTGAAACCGACGGCTTCAATCACTTACATTTGGGGTTCCCAGACTACAAGCCGTGCAGTTTTCCTGCGGGGGAATTCATACACTTCTACGTACTATTAAAAAGAACATATAAGGCTCACGAAATTTTGCAATGAACGTTGACACCGTTGTCCACTTTAAAAGCAGTATTAATAGATGCACTGATGTGATTGGACATCTCACATTTATGGAAAATCC